GTCGTCATAGTCTGGGACAACCCACGTGGTACGAACGTCACCGCACGACCTCGCCGACCGCGCGGACGGACGGATCGGCGGAGCAAGCGTCGTCGCGCCGTGTCGTCTGCTCCACGGTCTCTGCAATTCAACGACGTGTGCACTTCCGCGGCCGCAGCGTGTTTTGACGCAGAAAAAGGCAAGTGGTTTTAAAGTTATGTTTTGGAACCATTAGTAGTTGGAAGTTAAGTAAACCACACTTAATATGTTGCAAAGAGTGTGCCCGGGCTCAATTTTCGCCGGAATATAACAAAGCGTAGTACTTTCGTTTGTTCTTGAGATAACGTTGTTTCTAGAGCGATTCGTTCCGACCAGTACTCGCTCCTAGGCTGTAATCTAACTCAACCGTTCTCCGTTTTCTTGATTATTTCGCAGTTGTAGAGTTTTCGTGGGAAAAAGTTCCATCCATGAGACCATGACTTACATCGCGCGACGAGTGATCTTATCTCGGAGTTTGCAAATGTCCCCGTTGAATGGACGCTCGCTCTACGCTTGTACGTGTAAATTCTGAGTCCTAGGGCCTGTTGTGTCTTACACGTGGTATTTATCGTGTGACACGGTGTATACAGTGGAAATACGTCGAAACGATCGGCGCGTCGTCGTGCTTGTGTCGAGCTCGAATAGCTTCCTGCGTGGTTTATAAACCGTTGTGCTTCTGTAATGTTCTACGTACCACGTGTTTTTTTTGTTTTTTTTTTGTTTTCAGTTGTGCACTCGCGGTCAGCGCAATACGGAGCACTTTTATATTGCGTAAAGGCGTTTCGTGCTCCGTATTATGCCGGCCATGGAAGTACTATTTACACGTATATTTCGTTAGTCAGTGAATACCCTCTGATCAGTTAGTGTTATCTGGATAAACCAACGCACACCTCCGCATATGTAGCAGACAACACATCTTTCAAGCCTGCAACAAATTAAGTTTTCACCATATATTTATTGACACGATCAGTTTCTTTTTCCGTCGTAGCAATATATATATACAATAAAATCATGTCGCACAATCCACACACAAATATAACAGAAATAATTAAAAAAGAAACTGCATAACACTATGTACAATACCTGGTTCAAACACAGCAATAATCAGCAGTAATAAATCTAGCATAACATTTGGGGCCCAATAAATGATTGAATGAAGGCACTTATTTCCTACATAATCACTGTATGATAGGAAATGTTCTGAGATGTGTTCGTGTCATCGCCAAGGCAGCAGGGTAGGCTTGTGGTATACGTTTGAAATCCTGTCTATTCATATGCTCCCGATTTCAGCACCTATGTCGGACGATGAGAGCCTGCCGCGAGAGGCAGACCTTGGAGGCTTGCGGCAAGGGGCCATCTACGTTCCTGACCCATATTTATTTGACCCTCCGTTACCAGCAAGGGAGCGACATGCCCGGCAGCAGCAGCAGAGTCAGGAGTCACAAGTCCGGTAAAACTAATCAATGAATCAGGATACTTGCGGATGTCAATATTTCTTTTTTTTTGTTTGATTGTCAGAGGATAAGTAGTGGGAATGGACTTCTTCCAAAACCGACGCGCCCCATTGCGGCGAAATACCACGCAGTGCACTCTGGAAACTAGTTGGCCACTCAGTTTCGGTTTCGACTGAGCAGATTCATCTCATGCTATCACGCCGCGACCGAACGCGCTGCTTGCATTTTCGATTATCTGCCTTTTTTACGAATGTACAATACACTCATTCTCGGGCGATACAAAACGAAGGCCGGGGCACTTTCCTTGGTTCCCGAAACACCGGATATTATGAGTGCGTATGCAAACGTAGTAAGACGTGGCTTAGTCACCTCATCTTTGAGTTCAATTTTAATAATCCCGTGTAATACCAGTGAAGTACAAGTGAAATTCGGTCACCTGAAGCAGTACACATATTTTGTTTGCCAAACGTCCGCTTCTTGTTACTTCATTGGGCTGATAGAAGATTAAGTTTTCGCAAACGCTGAGCTAGCTACGACGGAGGCCCTAACAAGCGTCCCCTACTCCTTACTCAGCCTTTTGGACGAGCTTTTACTGACGCCCAAGATCTGTGCCTGAACGGTGTGTCTGAAATTATCTCGGCATACTCGGGCAGGAAGAAAGCAAACATATAACAAATATTATGATCATTAGCAACCGTCAAATGCACTTTGAATAATTTCGTTCGTTTGGCGCACCGCATAGGAGTTCATGCCCAAAGTGGAAAGTTGATCCAGTTGGTTCGTGGTTCTCTAAATAATTAAAAGCGCCGAAAAAGTCAAGGACAAAGAAGAGGAACGACACAAGGTGCATTGTGTCGTTCCCCTTTGTCCTTATATTTTTTGGCGTTTTTAAGTATTTAAAGGCTCATGCCCGTCCTGCGCACTTCTGGGGACTGATGCGACATTTTTCACACCAGTGCTCGACTTTTGCTTTTTTTTAAAACGGTTTGTATGTGCGAATGTGCCTATACGATTGCAGGATAACTTTACGTGCATATGCGATGTTGAATATTAGTAAAATGGGGGTGGGGGGACTTCGCTTCGTGCAGTTCTGCAGGTCAGTACAGATAAGAGATGAGAAGTGTGTTATAATTGAGATTTTCAATGACACCTCCGAGTTCTACCTCGCGTACACAGGCGTATTAAGAAAACAGTAATTGCAAAAAGTAATATTTCGTCTATGGACGCACGAAACAAACAAACTTTCTGAACAACAACACTAATGTAAAGGCGCGAGCTCGATGTATGCATACTTATTGGTTGCTACAGCTTGTTGATTCATACATAAGCAAGATCCCCGAGCTTCGCAGCGTCGACATTCCCAGCACTGGCTCGTCCACATACCTCGAAACGCTAACAGAAAGGCTCAAGTACAAAAATACGAGCATGTGTTAAGACAAGCTATACGTCTCGGGCTTGTGCTATAGCCTCAAGGTCTGGCCATTTAGGTTAGTTTAGAGACCACAAATGATGTTTTCGGGACCAGAAAACATGAAATAACGGCCGTTACATGTCCACGCTCTGTGTGTAATTTCTTCTGGACGTGTCGATCGAAACCGAAACCATGGCACTCTCCTCCCTGGCCAACTAGTTCCCAGAGTGCAACGCGCGCCGTGTTACATACAGGGCTTTATGGAAGTAGTCTAATACTGCAGAAGCTCCATTTCCATTCTTACACATCGCCATACACTACTGTAGATCTAACATACTAATATTATTGCTAACAAATAATAGCAATACCCCCCCCCCCCCCAAGATGATAAAAAGCATATAATCCATCTCACAAGTTGTGTGCAGCGCAGCGAAAGGAATCGACGCAAGCGTGACTTCAGTCTGCGCTTTCCTTGAACGAGAACTTGTGCAAACTGACCACTGTGAAGAGCTATACTCCTGCTCCTGTGCCTTTAATAGTCATGCACACAACTTGTAAGATGGAGTGGGAGGCACTCACTTGATCGAATGACGTTTTAGCGAACGCCCACATTTCGCCGAATGACACTTTAGCGAATAGTTGGACGCCGCAAAGCGGCGTTTTCGGGTGGGCCAAATGGATTCACATTTTTGTAATGAGCCGCCGCAGACTGCTGCGGCGCAAACGCAGCGCGGCGGATGGGTTTAACGCGCGCCCCCGTTATTCGCTTAAACGTCGCTGTTCGCTAAAACGTCATTCGCTCATGTGATATGGACCCAAGATGGAGTATACAAGGCGGTACCTTCACTTTCGAAATGAAATTAATTACAATGAGCAGAACGTAAAGGCGCAAGTGAGCTGGTGTATATCAAACATTTTAGTGAAAAACCCGAGACTGAGGTATTGACAGACAACGACACGGAAGGGAAGGAGAACGCCTCAAATGCAGCTAAACCTTTATTGAGGACAGGACCCTTTATATAGGGTTGAGAAAGAAGGAAGAAAAAGGAACCTTTCTTCACACCGCCTCTCTCCACAAAAGACACGACACCGGACCTCTTAACAATGGGGTCCGGTGTTGTCTTTTGTGGAGAGAGGTGGTGTGAAGAAGGGTTCCCTTTCCTTCCTTCTTTTTTTCAACCCTTGTAAAGGGTCCTGTCCTCAATAAAGGTTTAGCTGCATTTGAGACATTTTCCTTCTCTTCCTTGTCGTCGTCTGTCAATACCCCAGTCTCGGATTTTTCACTACAATGTTTGAATTACAATCTTGGGTAAATGTCTTTTCAGGTGCACCTGTGGAAACTGCCCAGAGGAATCAGGGCAATGTTGCCGTGAAATACCAAATGTTGCACAAAAAATTGTGGGGAAGTGCATCACAGACCACGAACTTTTTTCACTTGTGTGTTTGGATGTGCGGTTGCTGGACATAGCATATGAGAAGCTGCGATTTTTTGAACCAACATATTTGGAGCCAGCTGCTGGGGATCAAAACAAGTAAGAGAAGTTCTGTTACAGCGGATAAAAAGTGAACACACCACAAATTTCTAAAAAAATACTTTCTAAAATGGTTTGTATATCATAGTCGGTGTTCATTGCAGAGGATAGTTCTCCTCCCGTTAACTTTTGGCTACTATACGAGCACGTAAGCACGAGTAACAAAACAACTATACTCATTTTCAACAGTATAACTGTAGCAAAAATAAGTTCTGCGCCTCCAGTACGGTTAACATTCCACATCAGTTCATAATTTTTTTGAAAACATACAGATTTGAAGTAACAAAGGATTATACTTTTTCCCTCGTTATTGTTGCGCTGTTTCCACCTTTGAAGATGCCCAACTCGCCCAACTTCCTCCCTTGTTGAACGAAGTATTGTTGTTTTTTGCCCTCTGACAGCCATACTTTTTGCAAACTACTTCAAACAGTGTATTAACTATAATCGGTCACAGGTCAAGAAGCAGTAGATGCTCCGCCTTCAGCGTGAGCTTTCTCCCCCTGAAAACACATGTGTGCACATAGAAGCAAAGCACAGCTGAAGGCAACAAGCATGTGCTGGAGGCAGAGCTTCTCTCGCATTCTTGACCTGTGACCGACTACATGTGTGAAACTAGGCCTAGAGTGTAGCTGGTATTGTTGTTGACTCAACCTACAGATGGCAAAAAAGAAAGAATGAAGCAGGGGGACATGTTGCATAAGCCTTGGGGCAGAGGTATGAAGGAGGAAGAAGTTGATCACACATTATGGCCGACAGTTCATTACTAACACACCAGCTACAAATACTAAACCTGGATATAACAGTGTCACGCCCTTACACACACTGCTCGTGTGTGAGGCTTTTCGGTGAACTCAACTTTGCTGTTCTTACTATTTCCAGAAAATACAGATACACCGCCTACAAGGAGTTTGTTTGGTGGATGTGGGGAAGACTGGGCAGGTTCCGCCGCGTCAGGCTCCCGTGCTGTGTGGAGGCTAGAATCCGAGAGGAATTTCCCTCAGCTACGTACACTGGCTTCCACTACTCCTGAGTGTGGAAGCGGGACCTGTGGGCCAAGACTGCATCTTCCTTGTTCGGCCTCTGGGCAACACTGCACAAAGGGGGCCTACGCGGGCGGGGCCCATTGGCAGCTGTGGCCTCCCGGTACGTCCTCGAAGCTTCCGCCAAATCCAAGCAGCAGTGGAGCAGCCTCTGGACATAGTCTAAACGAACAAAGAACCGGGATCTTCAAGCTGCAGCCAATGTTTCAATAAATGTGTTTGCATTTACCGTATGACGCAGTCTCCATGATTCGCTGGACAGACCATTCACCCTTCCGAGACTTTGGGTATCGGAGTGCGAACCGCTTCTTGTTGTCCTTAGTGGTCGCCTGCTTCCGGTCGGAATTTTGATTATAGTGCATGACAGCAATGGCAGTCCTGCGAAAGTAAAAAAAAAAAATGGGGGTAAAAGCCAGAGATTAATATGACTAACATATTTCACAATTATACAAAGAGTACAAATGAGCATTGTTCTATCAAATTTCACAATCACAGCCTACCGTGCCTCCATGCCCTCAAAACAGAAGTGTGTCGATTTGGGGGTGAACCTGATCAGCAGGCTGTGAAACGACTCCAGTCGGTATGTTTGGCCCTCTCCAGACAGTCTTGGGAGATCTTTCAAAAGCTGTGCTGATGTGAGGATCTTTTGCAATGCCATGTATGGCTCAGTTCCTGTAATTAGAAGCAGCACCATATTAACTGGAGACAATGTACACAGCGTGACACTGTTAGCACGAGCAAGTAATTCTTTGTGTTTTTCAAAAAGAATTCACTCACTGTCATCAAAACAACTAGTGGTGGAGAATACTCGCTCAACTAAGTGTTTAGATTTCATGTTCGTCAATGTTTTGTTGTAGCGAATTGCTAAAAAACACAGATTTTATCTACACTGATAGTGACGCACACAGTGCTACACTATCAGTGTAGCACTGTGTGCGTTGTGGAATTCCCCTCGTGTCGCAGCAGTTCCTTTCTTCTGACTGTAAATTAGCCGCAACTACTGTTTTACATCTGCAAGCGATGTAACGAGTTATTCTGTAATTCCACCTTTGTGAGCCATCAAAGCAGCCCACAAAGATATATGACTTTTACTACAGATGATATAAAGGTTGAAATTATGATATGAGTGCTCTAACAGCAATTTGTTTTACCTTCCTGAAGCCATCTGCGGTGTTCAATCGGGGCATGCGTGCACGCAGGGTACAGGGAGTTGGGGTGCTCGTGCACATTGATTACATGTCTCATGACCGACATCCATTTCGCTAGGACCAGTGCACCACAGTCATCACTTGTCTGGGCACACCAGTAGACATGTGCCCGCACTGTCTTCACCCAGGCATTCAGGATGTTGTTGCGTTTAGTCTTCCCAGCAATGGCCATCTTGCTTCCGATGCCTAGAAATTAAAAAATGTGCATGCGTGGCCACCTCAGTACCAACCTACTAGCTTGCAGAACACTGAAAGCACTGACATTTGACATGGTCCCGAATCGGTATTGCTGTAAAATTGCAGCAGCATGATGCCTGCAGTATGGACAACTTTGTGAGCTTCGTGTAGCATGAACAAGAACCTATAAAAGATTCTGTAAAAACACATTTGATATTCTTACAGGACCATGCTAGAATGACGCCTTGCTAATCTTAATAATGTGTGTCGTGCTATATTTACAATAACGCATTCTCGGGTATGCAACTAGGGAACTGCTAAAACAGACACGGCAAAGATGTGTCAGGAAATGTCAGTCCTTTTATCCTTCTTGTGACCTCTTTTTTTAAATTCCATACTACATTTTACTCTCGTATTAAATGCCAATTAAAAATCACAGTATGCTGTTTACTAGAAAGTGGCTTCACCCTTGGTTCTACTCTGAAGTGACGAGTGTTATAATTAATTTTTTCAAATAAGGTTACCTTTGGCGACATGCCATGCATCAAACCGGTGTCTGGTGTCGGGATATTCATTCTTCAGAAGCGTGTTCACCCCGACATGCCGGTCCGTCACAAGCACATCTAGACACAGTCCTCGGCCAAGGAGGAAGTCCAACGAGCGCTTGAGGCCCTCTGTTTCCATATGGTTACTTGATTTTACTTCTGTTGACTGGTGTAGAAAAAAAAAGGTACCAAAACGTTTTTACCTCAATCAACCAATGCAGTGATCACAAAACAATTTCTATTTAGCAAATTCTTACCTGGACAATCTCAAAATGCAAGATCTTGTTCGCATTAGTGTCCAACAGAGAGTAAGTTCCATACTTGGCCGAGTATCCAGGCGAGTCGGCGCGGCCATCGCCAGCCAGATGGAGTCTCCTGCCATGCATTGCGGCCAGCAGAGTGGTCTGCTCCGCTTTCCAGGCCTTTGAAATGGAAACACCTAATGTCAGTCTCAACCAGACAAAATGGTCACCTAGCCAACACTTTTTATATGCAGTGTACCTTTGTTGCAGCAGGAAATACCAGGCAGCCCTGGACTTTGTAGAACTGAGATTTCCTTAGGACAGCAATGCCTATTGAGCTCAACAGTCGAAGAACTCTTGTAGGACTGGCCCCAGAATATGTGACAGCGGCAGGCAGGAGGATGTTGAGGAGAGCCTTGCCATTTACCAGGGCCTGATTCTGCCACTCCCTCTTGTGGCCTCGAACACACGTGATTACGGCGTGAACAAAGGTCCCCTGGTGCCTGAGCTTCGTTCGGGTCGGAGACAGGCACTGAATGCAAACCGCAAACAGCTGCAGAAGCATTGATGCAGTAACCAAGTACTTTTTTTCCTTGATCGGGTCCACTTCCGGTGAACAGCTGTCGCAGTTTTCTTCCCTGCCAAACGCAGAAGAGAAAATCAAACCACAAAGCGTTAGTCAGAATCTAGTACATTTCACAAGCTATTCTGTCCCGTTGAAAGTTGGGCGACTTGGTTGTGCATAGTTATGAAGAAGAAAACAGCGCTCGGTTTGTGTGTTTTCTGTTCCTTGTCCTCCGTACCTTTGGTGCTGTTTCCTTCATAACTATTCTGTCACTTCTAATTTCCCGTTTTATCATGCTCTTTTCGGTGCATTGCACATACAATTCAACAAGAGGTTACACATGCAATGTCTTGTATGAATTACATTATTTTCCCACCTGTTCAGGTCTCCATGTGGTTACAGTATAAATAAAAAAATAAATAAATAAATAAAACATATTTAGTCCTATTCATAGCATAATGATTTCTGGGAAGATGCAGAGGGCACGTACTCGTGTGTTACATCCGAGGTCGCAGAGTCGTCGGAGCAAGCACTGGTGTCCAATGAATCGGGCTCATCATCGGAGTTGACGGAATCATTTGGCCTGTAGCTTCGGTCCAGGATGTCTGGCTCGTCGGACATATCGTCGGACTCACTGGAGTTGCCCTCCTCGTCGCTGGTGTCCGAAGAATCAGCCTCAGGTTCCACACGTTCAGGAATAACGTCCAAGTCTAATAACAAAGGGCCTGGGATTTGGCCACTTTCAGGTGAGGAACAAAATTGTCGCAAGTGTTCTCCTTCCTTTGCCGACGTGCCTTCAACTCCTTGCGGACGTTTAGGCACACTTGTCGCATTTTCCAGGGGGCTTTGGCCTGCTATAGGCAAAACAGACTGGTCGTCAGAAATGAACATCATGATGCAACAAGTTTACGACAAAAATGTATTGCATTAGAAGCTCAGCCATGAACTCTTTTCGTAAAAGCAACAATATTTTTGAGCCACCACATCCACCTACCTGGCTGTTCTGTTTGCACAGCTTTGCTGATGCCCCATTGCGGTGTCTGTGTACCTGACACAACAAAATCATGATATTTAGAAGACAAACTGGAATGCCATTAAGCAAATACCTTTTGTTAGCTTGCTTATGTATGTCTGGCTCAATGCATGAAATCCAGGTGGCTCCATGTCTGGTTCAACATCATCAAGCGAAGCATCCAGTGAGAGAACGTCGAATGCACTGGCTGTGCTACTATTTGCTACTGCAGCAGCAGTAGCTCGGTCCTCGCTCTGTAAAAGCAGTGAGTCAAGTGACAGCATATGCAAGCTTATGTAAGACAAAACTAGAAGCAATGAAAAAAACAAACAAAAAAAACATGGTAGGTTAACTCTGCACTAACCCAATTCTCACGGACGTCGTCTACAAGTTCATCCAGTGATGATTTGTGTGCTCCCGTGTGTTCGCCACGGTCGTCATCATGTGTAGCAGGCAAGCCATCACACGCAGAAGTTGCACTGGTGCTACATTCCACAAACGAAGCAACTGCAGCTTGTTTTCCAGTCTGTGAAGGCATTCAATGGACATATACTGTTATTGGTTTGGTCGCGACAGTGAAATCCTACATGAGCCAACTTTGTACGCAATGGCCGCGAGTGCTACAATGATGATTTGCGGCACACGCTTATTACAAACAGCAATTCACAATGCACTCTCAATATGAACTATTTTCGTCAACAAACGAAATTCCTCATACTGTCCTCAAACAAAAACAAACAGAAGGACATGCGTTAGTTTCCAGATTTTTAAAAGCTTCTTATTTGTTTTGAAGTTGCCTGACCAGAACTTTAAATGTACAATACCATAATGGTACATAATTTGGCACTACACAAAGTTGTATGGGGAGAAAACAAAGTGTCGAGATTTGCAGGCAGGCACGGAGCCAGGCTGTGCTACTATTTGCTACTGCCGCAGCAGTAGCTCGGGCCTTGCTCTGTAGAAGCGGTGGGTCAGGTGACATCTGCAAGCTTACGTACGACAAAACTAGAAGCAATGAAAAAAAACAATGATAGGTTAATTCGGCACTAACCCAATCCTCCCGGACGTCACCTACAGGTTCATCCAGTGATGATTTCTGTGCTCCCGTGTGTTCGTCACGGTCGTCATCAGGTGTAGCAGGCAAGCCATCACACGCAGAAGTTGCACTGGTGCTACATTCCACAAACGAAGCAACTGCAGCTTGTTTTCCAGTCTGTGAAGGCATTCAATGGACATATACTGTTATTGGTTTGGTCGCGACAGTGAAATCCTACATGAGCCAACTTTGTACGCAGTGGCCGCGAGTGCTACAATGATGATTTGCGGCACACGCTTATTACAAACGGCAATTCACAATGCACTCTCAATATGAACTATTTTCGTCAACAAACGAAACTCCTCATACTGTCCTCAAACAAAAACAAACAGAAGGACATGCGTTAGTTTCCAGATTTTTAAAAGCTTATTATTTGTTTTGAAGTTGCCTGACCAGAACTTTAAATGTACAATACCATAATGGTACATAATTTGGCACTACACAGAGTTGTATGGGGAGAAAACAAAGTGTCGACATTTGCAGGCAGGCACGGAGCCAGGCTGTGCTACTATTTGCTACTGCCGCAGCAGTAGCTCGGGCCTTGCTCTGTAGAAGCGGTGGGTCAGGTGACATCTGCAAGCTTACGTACGACAAAACTAGAAGCAATGAAAAAAAACAATGATAGGTTAATTCGGCACTAACCCAATCCTCCCGGACGTCACCTACAGGTTCATCCAGTGATGATTTCTGTGCTCCCGTGTGTTCGTCACGGTCGTCATCATGTGTAGCAGGCAAGCCATCACACGCAGAAGTTGCACTGGTGCTACATTCCACAAACGAAGCAACTGCAGCTTGTTCTCCAGTCTGTGAAGGCATTCAATGGACATATACTGTTATTGGTTTGGTCGCGACAGTGAAATCCTACATGAGCCAACTTTGTACGCAGTGGCCGCGAGTGCTACAATGATGATTTGCGGCACATGCTTATTACAAACGGCAATTCACAATGCACTCTCAATATGAACTATTTTCGTCAACAAACGAAATTCCTCATACTGTCCTCAAACAAAAACAAACAGAAGGATATGCGTTAGTTTCCAGATTTTTAAAAGCTTCTTATTTGTTTTGAAGTTGCCTGACCAGAACTTTAAATGTACAATAGCATAATGGTGCATAATTTGGCACTACACAGAGTTGTATGGGAAGAAAACAAAGTGTCAACATTTACAGGCAAGCACGGAGCCAGGGCGGTGGCCCGTGAGGCCCGGGAAAACCCCCGAAATCCTGCAGTTTTGCTGGGACCCCCTCACCCCCTCTCCACTCAAAGGGTACTGAGCTCTAACCCCCTTCACAAAAAAAAATTCTTGACACGTAGTACTCCGTTTCACTTCATGAGCGAGAGCAATCAAAGCTAGAAGCACAGGCTCTGCACTCTGAACGTCCCCCAGTTCCCCTCGCACGGGCAGCGAAGACGTTGCTCCAGCCAGCATGCTCGCACTTGTAGCTTCGGCTTCGCTCGCACTTACGATGAAACAGAGTATAGAAATCGCACAGTGAGAGACAATACGTACTCCGGTTCGACGACGTTTCGCACATGGTCCCTCTGCTGCAGTGTTGGGAGTCCTGCCATTGACGATCGACGGCACGGCGTCCGGCTTCAGACGTGCGAACTTCATCGAGAAGCCAGCATCAGCTAACACACTCAAGTTTCGCTCGTAGCACGCGGTTGAGAAGTGATCCGAGCAGATCAATGTCCGATCCTTCGGCGAGAAGGGCTTCCCGGAGTTCCATCGCCGCACGATCTCCGTCCAGACTTCCCGACGCGCACTGTCGCGAGGAAACTTATGAAACACTGCACCTCCTGTGCTGCCCCTCTGATAATTTGAGCAGCTACTGACACAACATCGAGTGCCTTTGAGTTTTTGGCCAGGCATCGCAGCCCAAATCGTTGCTCCTAGACGCAGCAGTTTCAGCCTTCTCGACGGCGAAAAAGCGCGGACCACGGAGCGCTCGCTCAGACGCTCTTTAGCGCATGCGCGTTCTGGATCACGTGGACAACGGTGTGCACGCTGCTGGCGCCGCCTGTGGGCTGCGCTTCAACAAAGTAAAAAACAAGCAAAAAAGAGGTCCCAGCCTATGACGTACGGCGCAGTGTTGGCGCTGTTCTCTGCGCCGCACATCGGCCGCTAGAATTAGCAGATTTCGGAGACTTGAGGCATCTCAAACTTTGTTTACCAGTTTAATAAACTTTTAGGCTTAATTACGTCGTAAAACTTGACGTGTAGTCTTTTTAGGTGATACTAAAGAGAACTGCGTTGTTTTTTCAGCATCGAAAATGTAGCGGAGTTGCCCTTTAAGCGTAAGGTAGGAAAACAGTTATGTGTGAAGCTGCCTTCACGTCTGCTTACGTCACGGTTACCGGAACATCTGCGCTTCACATTAAGCGTGACTACCAGATCAAGGGCACCGCCTGTTACGCGATATTCGAGAGACGGAATGTTTCAGTGACTTAAGCGTAAGGTAGGAAAACGGCTTTGTGTGAACCTGCCTTCACGTCTGCTTACGTCACGGTCACCGGAACATCTGCGCTTCAGATTAAGCGTGACTACCAGATCAAGGGGACCGCCTGTTACGCGTTATTCGAGACACGGAATGTTTCAGTGACTTAAGCATAACGTAAGAAAACGGTTATGCGTGAACCTTCCTTCACGTCTGCTTACGTCACGGTTACCGGAACATCTGCGCTTCACATTAAGCGTGACTACCAGATCAAGGGGACAGCCTCTTACGCGTTATTCGAGACACGGAATGTTTCAATGACTTAAGCGTAAGGTAGGAAAACGGTTATGTGTGAAGCTGCCTTCACGTCTGCTTACGTCACGGTCACCGGAACATCTGCGCTTCACATTAATCGTGACTACCAGATCAAGGGGACCGCCTGTTACGCGTTATTCGAGACACGGAATGTTTCAGTGACTTAAGCATAACGTAAGAAAACGGTTATGCGTGAACCTGCCTTCACGTCTGCTTACGTCACGGTTACCGGAACATCTGCGCTTCACATTAAGCGTGACTACCAGATCAAGGGCACCGCCTGTTACGCGATATTCGAGAGACGGAATGTTTCAGTGACTTAAGCGTAAGGTAGGAAAACGGTTATGTGTGAAGCTGCCTCCACGTCTGCTTACGTCACGGTTACCGGAACGTCTGCGCTCCGCATTAAGCATGACTACGCATTATTTGAGACACGGAATGTTTCAGTGACTTAAGCGTAAGGTAGGAAAACGGTTATGTGCGAACCTGCCTTCACGTCTGCTTACGTCACGGTTACCGGAACATCTGCGCTTCACCTTAAGCGTGACTACCAGTTCAAGGGTATCGCCTGTTACGCATTATTTGAGACACGGAATGTTTCAGTGACTTAAGCGTAAGGTAGGAAAACGGTTATGTGTGAACCTGCCTTCACGTCTGCTTACGTCACGGTTACCGGAACGTCTGCGCTTCACCTTAAACGTGACTACCAGTTCAAGGGTATCGCCCGTTACGCGTTATTTGAGACACGGAATGTTTCAGTGACTTCAGCGTAAGGTAGGAAAACGGTTATGTGTGAACCTGCCTTCACGTCTGCTTACTTCACGGCCACCGGAACATCTGCGCTTCACCTTAAGCGTGACTACCAGTTCAAGGAAATCGCCTGTTCCGCCATATTCGAGACACGGAATGTTTCAGTGACTTAAGCATAACGTAAGAAAACGTTTATGCGTGAACCTGCCTTCACGTCTGCTTACGTCACGGTCACCACAAGATGTGTTCTTCACATTAAGCGGGACTACCAGTTCAAGGGGATCGCCTGTTACGCGATATTCGAGACACGAAATGTTTCAGTCCCTTAAGCATAACGTAAGAAAACGGTTGACCTGCCTTCACATCTTTACGCGATATTCGAGCCATGGAACGTTAGGTGACTTGAGCGTAACGTAAGAA